CAAAATTTAGCGGGAAAATATTACCCTCGTGACGTCACACGTGACGACACACGTGACGTCATTTTGGGAAACAGCCCTTAATGCAACGCGCGGTTACGCCGACGCCGCTCAACCCAGAAACGGGTGCCTAGGAGCTGTGCTCTAAAACAACGTTACATTAATGAACGATTTTTATGCCAATTGGATGATTCTGATCGATCATCGCAAGCCAATATAAAGAACGAAGCATATCCAACTTTGGCGTTCCGCTTCGTTCCACGGAAGTCTACGAGGAGGCCCTGACACTGCCTATTCAGATCATAATTATCGTGTTTTCTCGAATAGTTACATGCTGAAACAAAAGTAGGCTCTATCATTCGCTGTACACTGCAATTCGCTGCTAACCAAGATAGCCATGAATGACTGACGTTGTCGTCGTCTTTTATCAATTCAGCGCTCCGCTAATCTTGATTCAGATACAGCCTAAACTCCAAGTCCACCCCACTATTTTTTTCTTGCAATGTCACTCTTCTACATGTCGTCGCTTTCACGAATTTCTTTTTCTTTGAAAAATAAAACTTACGCCACGCTTTTGGTGTCCGTGTTGTTATGTTTTACTGTTGAAACACTCCCATTGGTTCCACACATTCGATCGAGCGAAGTGAGTTCGTCAAACTCACTCCAAGCTAAGTGTGTTCCTGAGGAAGGAGCCGTGTGGCACACTACAGAAATGACACTAAGGGCGAAGTGCACTCGCTTGTAGTGACACTAAACTAGCCCGTCTGACAGGGGTATTAGATTTTAAAGTTTCTTAAACATCTCGTTTGCGTGCGTTCACTTCTCAGAAAGTCACGCTGGCCTAAGCTTTGTTTCATCTCTGTGTTTCCTTGTGGTCCCTCCTAAGAACTCCCCCCACCCCCCCGTCCTCCCCTCCCTCCAACTTCTTCTACCCCTGTCAGACGGGCTAGTTTAGTGTCACTACAAGCGAGTGCACTTCGCCCTTAGTGTCATTTCTGTAGTGTGCCACACGGCTCCTTCCTCAGGAACACACTTAGCTTGGAGTGAGTTTGACGAACTCACTTCGCTCGATCGAGTGCGTGGCATCAATAGGAGTATTTCAACAGTAAAACATAACAACACAGAAACCAAAAGCGTGGCGTAAGTTTTATTTTATAAAGAAAAAGAAATCCGTGAAAGAGACGACATGTAAAAAAGTTGCATTGCAAAAAAAAAAAAAAAAAAAAAAATTGTGGGGTGGACTTTTAGACTGATTTGAATCAATTTTAGGCCGAGTTTAGGCTGATCTGAATCAAGATTAGCGGAGCGCTGAATTGATAAAAGACGACGACGAAGTCAGTCATTCATGGCTATCTTGGTTAGCAAAAAATGATAGAACATACTTTTGTTTCAGCATGTAACTAATCGAGACAACACGATAATTATGATCTGATTAGGCAGTGTCAAGGCCTCCTCGTAGACTTCCGTGGAACGAAGCGGAACGCCAAAGTTGGATATGCTTCGTTCTTTATATTGGCTTGCGATGATCGATCAGAATCATCCAATTGGCATAAAAATCGTTCATTAATGTAACGTTGTTTTAGAGCACAGCTCCTAGGCACCCGTTTCTGGGTTGAGCGGCGTCGGCGTAACCGCGCGTTGCATTAAGGGCTGTTTCCCAAAATGAAGTCACACGTGACGTCACGTGTGTCGTCACGTGTGACGTCACGAGGGTAAAATTTTCCCGCTAAATTTTGCTGTAAAAGTTTTTGCTATGTTTGGCGGAACATCTTCCGCTAAATTTAGAGGAAAATTTTACGCGTGTGACGTCAGGTGACGTCACACTTAAAATTTTATATGACGCGTCATGTGACGTCACACGTCAATTCAGTGGGAAAATTTCCCGGCTAAATTTACCGGCAAATTTAGCAAAATGTTTACGCTAAGTGGGATGGGAACAGGAGAGGATGGTACGGAGGGGGAGCAGCTGGCATACCCTCCCCTTCGTACCCTTCCTCCCTCCTCCTCAAGAGCTGCGCTCTAATTCGGCATTACAGAGAATTGTAAACGTCTAATTTTTTAACGTGTCTTTATTAAGGAGTATCGGTGGTTGAGTGTGCTAGCACCCACCTGATCGGAGTACGTGGAGAGAAAACTCGCGCTGCAGAACCCAGCGATCTTGAGCTCAATCCCCAGCTCTGCCCGAAGAAGACACTTCCAAAGAAGTGAGTTCGGGGAGCACACTACGCTCACTCCGGTAGACCGAGTGTGTAATCTCGATAGCAGTGTTCAAGGAGTAAAAATAATAGAAGAAATTAACGCTGCGTAAGATTAGTATTATTTTGATAGGAGTAATATTAGATGCGCACTAGTTTCCTGTTGGCAGGAAAGTAGTGAATTGTAGAAAAACAAGCGGTTAATTTAGTTTCCAGCCTTGGCCCCTGCGGGACGGCCAGCGACCGCCAGGATGCACCTGCAAAACTCCATCAGGAATCTGAAGGTGGCAGGAGAGATGCGAAAGGCTTGCTTGAAATCGAACTCGCCCAAATGGAGCAAGGTGTCTTCGAACCACCGTTCGTTCCTCTGGAAAGTCCACCGTTCTCGACTGATCACTGGTAGGTTGTCGGTCATGAGAGCGGCTATGGTGAGGGCATTGGCCTGCAGCTGCTGATCGATGTCACTTGATATTCTTGCCTGTGCGTCGGCATCCAGATCCAGCTGCCTCTTATCTGAAAAGCGTTGGGCTCTCACGGAGAAAGGTGCACAAACCACGTGCTTCCACTGTCCAACATCGCGGATATCGCCCTCCAGCTCGTCCTCCACACACTCCATGATGTTTCATTGTGGTGAGTGACGAGTGGCCGGGTGGGCTCGCACACACCAAGCTCGGGGCACGCGGAGCGAAAGCTCGCGCTGCAGAACCCAGGAATCCTGGGTTCAATCCCTACTTCCTGCTCGTTTGGATTTATACTCCGTTTCACCTTATGTTGTACCGCTGACAAGGCTAGATGCGCGAGCTCATAGCGTTGGGAGCTACTCTTAACGCACGACCGCTTGTGCCGCCTTGATGTGCCCTAGAGCAAGGAGCTCGCGCTTGTAGCCTTTTCTGCGGTACATCAGTATCGTACCGGCGTCCGGACGCGTATCACTGGCTTGTAATGGCTGATCGTAATGATCAAATTGGATTTAAATTTGGATTAGAACTCGGGACTGAGCGCAACAATATGTGGTAACGTGTTTCTAATAAGACGACGAAGTTATTTATGAAAAAATGCGTATGCACTGTAACATGTTGCGTGCCCACTACTTACCCATCGTTATTGCCATCATTTTGGAGTGATACTAAGTTTTCTCGTGTAGCACCAACACACTTGGAGTGTGTTTCAACGGGTTGAAGTGCACACGCTTGTTGTGACACTAAACTAGCCCCTCTGACAGGGGTATCAGTTTCAAATGGCCGAGTCACACTACAGCGACAAAAGGAAACAAACGCGAGTGATAAGCCTCAAACACGTGGAGCATGCTCGCGATGATACCTATGGCAGGCGTTTAGACATTCGGTGCTCGTGCAAGCCTGCCAAAGATACCCTCGATTTGCATGATGCTCGTGTTTGAACATAACCTCCTTTATTCTACAAAGCCTTTCAAATCGCGAAAGACTCTGGTTTGAGGATTGTCGCTGTCGTTTGTTTCAGCTTGTCGCTCTAGTAGGACTCTGACATAAGGAGTGTCGGCGGATGCCACTGCGGCTTGTAGTTGCGAACAGTATGAATGAAAAATTGCCTTGATGACTCAATCGCACACACAAGGAAGGTCAGTCACTGCATAAACAAAGCGAGGGAAATTTTTTTGACATGTTCTTTCCAAATCCTTATAAGAGAGTTTCTGAAGGCCTCTCTCCAGGCTATGAATAAATGTGTAATTAGCGTTGTGAAACGAAAACAGCAAGAAAACATCCTTGTGGTTACAAGCTTCTAACTGTATTCCGGATATGTCATGCAGGCACGAAGCCAGGATTTTGATTCGGGGGGGGGGGGGGGGGGGAGGGGGGGGGGGCCCGCACGTGACAAAATGCTGTATGAGGGGGTGGGGGAGGGGGGACCGGGCCCCAGCAAAATCGAAGATTCCAGGGGGGGGGGGGGGGCGGGCCTCATCTTTCTATCCCCCTTAGCTACGTGCCTGATGTCATGCGTCCTGCACACTATGATTGCAGTCTCCTTCAAATTCACCATTCTCTTAGGTGCTCAAATCTATAAAGATTTGGTACCTGCGTTGCATTAAGATTTCGAACATTGCTATAAAAACTCTACATGTAATTTTGATATATCCTTTGGAAAAAAGTGTTTTCTGTTAATGCTTACAATTTTATTTTTCATCTGTGCCTTCTGTTTTTCAGTGTGGTGCAAGAGACTTGAGATCCTGGACTGCTGTACGTCGTGAAGCCAGATGCTGCTTTTCCCCCGTGGTCGCGCCGTGACTGACGCTACTCGATGTTGCACAATAGTGGTTTCTGGCCGCGTCACAAAGCTTTTATAAAACTTTGGTGGCAATGTTTCATTATTTGGATTTGGAGTCAGGGTTGTTTTGGAATAGATGATCGGATTTGCTTCGGTATGGGTGTGGCTCCAATTCGATACGGAGATGGTTTGGGGGACAGGAGGTGTAGCGGTGTCTTCGGTTGGAGTAGAGTAACTAAATAACAGTAACAAAGTAGTGCATTTCTTTTATTCTTACCGCAAACCCTTCATTGGTGAAGAAATTATCACGTGCCAAAAATAATCCAAGGTTGAGCAGACAACGACCACACACATTAGGCAGCGTACGCAAACAGGATTTTGAGGATGACAGTTACCGCCGAAGCACCACCTGTAGGACTTACGCTGCCACGTTGATTTTGGACAAAAGAAAAAAAAAAAAGACGAAAAAAAAGAGACCATTCTACTACTCTGCTCCGCAAGCGCAGGAGAGTAGCACAACGGTCTATACAGTTACCGTAGGTATTAAAAGCTGTTGTGGTGGTTTTAATCGGAGTGGTTTTGAGGATCGTAGTGGATTTGACCGGAGGAGCTGTTGTGGTGATTGGATTGAGTTTGGCTGCTCAACCTGCTGTCGTAGTTGGGGTGCGTGGGGTTGGGGTAGGTCCAGGCGGAGGAACTGGTCTGGCTGTAGTTGTGGATGGCGTCGGAATAGAGCAAACCCCATTCTTGCAATATCCATAGACCCAGTGGCGAATCTGTAAAGAAGCGCAAATGAGCTAATATAATTTTAATGTGCCGCATGTGGGACCCTTAAAGTATACGTAATTTGTCAATAGGGTGCTCCTTCCGTTAGTTCATTTGCGTTTTGAAAGTGTGTGTACAAGTAAATGTTCAAGCCTTGAGCTTAAAAGTTTGCTTTCAGGAAGAAATATTTCAAACTAGAGTCGGTATTATAATTGCTGGGATTCGTCACTTACTCTGCAATCAATACGAAAATATACGAGGATTATAGAATGTTGAAAGCTCAGCAACTACAAAGCATATTTTCACTGCTGTATATAGAAACGAATACGCAGTTTATAAGACGATTATGTCTGTCGATCACTCACAACTGAGTTATTTGTTTGGAATAACGGTGTACAAAAATCGTTTTCCGAGAGACGTCCCACATTTATGAGATAGCCACAAATTGATATGTAATTTTTGTTGCATTGTAATACAAAACGCTTTACAACGTTTTTGCTACAAGGAGCAATAATGAAAAACTTAACAAGTATCGTTCTCCCCCTCTTCTGCAGAGATTAAAATCACATGTCAGTGCAAAAGGGTTGAGACCATTTGTGTTTTTCTATTCGTGTTTATCTAAAGGTTTAAGCAGGTAATTGCATTAATTTGTTCCTATGAAACTAATTTATATTCCAAAATTACCGGGTTGAAGAACTACCGGCGATTCGCGAAAAGAAATATTGCTTATATAAATCTCTGTGCAGAGCAATGGTTGCTGCTTCGAGGCGTCTAGTCTACTTTGTGGAATTCATTGTACGAGTATTTTGCTATTTTTGCATATTCAGCCCAGTCTGTTGTCTTAAAATTTACTAATGAAAACATGTGGTTGAACCTTTACACTACAATTGTTTGCTTTGACATCAGTTTAGAGTTGAGATAGATAAATAACAGTTTTACAGTATGAAGTTTGAAGAACATTGCATTTTTTATTTGAATTCGGTGTGTATGCCTTTGGAGTAGTCCAAGGAGATTATTTGAGCTGCTGAAACGTTTCGATGAATCGTGTTAATGTAGCTTTGGCTATGAATGTCGGCAGATGTAGATACACTTACCTTGCAAAGAGTTCCGTCTGGCCACCTCCAACGTCCATAGGTACAGTATTTCACATAGGTACGAGGTTGAAGAAACGATTTTTCTCTAACGTTCTGAAATCAAATTTGAGAGGGGAATAAAGTGTTGTGATCTATTTTAGAATTTTAACTTTTGAGAAAATAAGACATACGAATAACACCACTAAAATCAACATGCAGTTGAGTTGGTGATGAGAAACGCGACTCTTAAAAGGAGCATTCAAGTGGATCCTGAAATCATCTATTAATGATGCCAACTCAATCTACGGGCTCTAGGACTATTCAACAAATTTAAAATTACACTCATGGGCGGCCAATTGTTTTCATTAAAAATTCTAATGTATGTGACAGGCCCCTTTTTCTGAGTCTTGGGTCAGACACCTGAAGGGGCCGTCGCAAGGAGTTTTTAAACAATAATTGCGGTATTACGTCTCTTACACTCAAAGATTTTAAGTTGTTATTAAAATATAATGCGCGACGTGCGTAAAATTATCAATATTAGAATCGGTCAGAATATGCGCGCAATTACTGTTTTAATTGGTCAAATTTTATAGAAGTGGTAGAGCACACAAAAAGTCACCCACTCCCAACAGAAAAGTAGTGCCCGTGTATTTCAATCGCTGCGAGTATACTGAGGTGTCTTACCATTTAGAACTGATAATATTTATTGACTGAAGCTCAACAAACATTGTGCAATAAAAACAAGCTTTTACAAAAATAGCTAGAGAGCCCCCCCCCCCCACCCCCCCCCCCCCTTTTATGAGAACCGATGAGTAATAGCATGGCACTGAGTGGATGCCAGGTTAACGTCTAGAAATTAAATCATGCAGCTATAAACTCCATCATGTTGATAAGACATTTTTTCAAAATCTTAAATAAAAAACTATATTAAAAGCATGAAAGTGGCTTTGATTACAAACTATGTTAAAAATATATGTGCACGTTTCTCGTAGAATTATATAGAGCATTGAGTCATGCGTTAGGATATATGTTACGTTTATATCTGGTCACATCTGGTTTCATAAGGACAATATTTTACGGATCTCTACCTCAGATATACTAAATGTATAGTGCAATTGCTTAAATATTATTTGAATAAAAAGTGAGTAGTTTGGGGTTATGCCTCGGTAAAATGATACAAAACAGATATATAGCACGATTACATAAACCTTTACGACGATCACGCAAGACATTTGAAACAAGGCTGTAGCATTGACAACAAACAATAAAAATATGTCTAAAATGGGCGACCCCAAAACTTTCGGAAATAATCACTGCTGATTACCTAATTAACATCGTGCATAAGTAATAAAAATGCTAAACTACTACAAACAGGAATATCGTTCCCCGTCTCAGGGTGTACAAGATGCCGATTAATTACCAGCTCGCCTGGACTCTATCACTGCTTACAATATCGTGTTTTGTGTAAACCAGGGTTTTGACTATCGGTACTGTTTAATGCTGCAATTATTTGAAATGTCACACTTTGCCTGTCAGAGGCTGTTTAGAGCTGTCATTCTTTAATTCGTATCTGCACTAAACCTATGCGCTTTCATCCGTTTGTTTGACCGGTGTACGTTGAGTTCGTGTTCATGTGTTCGCTGTAATTCTTTTATTGCATGTGCCCTGGGCATATGATATTTGTCACATTTGGGGGATATAGGTTCGGTAGCTGAATTTTAAGTAACACGTTCAAATATTTTTTTAGTACATAAAATTCTGTTGTGCAGTCCACTATACTCTTATTGGAAAATTGAATTGACTGTTATAAGCCTCCGCAGCATAACTTGAAGGAATATGTCAAATATTTACTTTTTTTTGTTATGCTGGTGAATATATATATATATATATATATATATATATATATATATATATATATATATATATATATATATATATATATATATATATATATATATATACATATATACAACGGCCATGGTGGCGGGAGGCCGAAGGCGTGGGTATATAACTGAGAAGAAAAAACCCTTAGTGAAAACAGCAACAGCGGACGATTTATACTTCGACGTTTCGGCCGGAGTCCGGCCTTCGTCACGTTGTTGTTTTTCCACTAAGGGTCTTTCTTCTCAGTTATATATATATATATATATATATATATATATATATATATATATATATATATATATATATATATATATATGTATATGTATATAGACATATAAGTAATTTATTGTTGGTACTGCTGACTCAGAACGAAACAGCTTTAAGTTTATTCATGTGAATAGTTCATGAAAGTCATTTACTTTTGTGTTTTGGTTTAACTACACATTTTTCGATTCGTGAAATGTTGAACTGTAATCTGGAGAGCGCTGTACATACAAATAGTATTACGCATTGTCAAGAATACAAATGTAACATTTCTGGAAGTTATGGGATGATATGCAAGCCTTACCTGCGATTCTATGTTGTCCGGAAAGCTGGAACCTATTTCTGCAGCGGCCAATACTACAAGAAAAAAATGAATATGTTTTTAGCATTAAGCGAGGTAAAGCAGTGACTGGAGGTACAAAGTCGTACTGGCGAAACGACTGACTTGAAATTATTTTTAACATCAGAGTAAATTAGCGCCAACTCTTGAAGAGGCGGGTTTATAATAACACGTTGCTGCTTTTTCTGAAGAGGTTGAGACGTTTTTCAATGAAGCGCTTGATTGATTTCTTTGCCACGGCAAATAATTTTCCCATTTGTATACCAAAATATCTACGCCGTGTTACACATATAACGTGGTTTGCCTACACTGACAAAATTTTGTGAGCAACATTTTCGCTTCAAAGAATAACTTCAAACAAAAACAGGTAAACCGGAAAATTTCATCACACTGATTATCCTGAACAATAGGATAAAGCAATGCATCTTGAACCATGATAATAATGATAACAAGCTAATTATCATTCACTTTTCTTTCGCCGTGTAGTGTCACGCCTCTCTCCCTTCATCGATTTGTTTATCACAGTTCTCACCTCAGAATATTTTTACAATCCCCGCCCCACCGTATTTCCCCTTGTTTAGATCACCCATGTAAATTCCAATTCGAAAATCAACTGTTTCTAACAGATTACGCACTCTACCTTTGGCTATCAAGGATTGGAAGTCGCAGCATCGTTTCTATAAATGATACTAGTAAATTGTTTTAATTTATTTCCCTCCTTCAATCTAATATAGCTAACTAGCTTAAAGTGTTATATTTGGGTTTCCATTTCTATGTTTTGTTTTCTTGCCACCCTTTGTATAATGCCCCACAGGCCCGCAAAGAAAATAAATTATGATGAGAAGTAATCACTAAGAAAGTTACACTGAAAAAGATGAACTCAAGTTTTGTTTTTTACTTGCAAAATTTGGGAGTGCAATAAAGGTGGAATTTGGAACACTTATCAATTAATTTCGTAGATGATATTTTTATTTTAAAAACATAACCTGTGCTTTTCGTGCACATTGCTTATTTGTGATTTTTTGGTTAACAGGTTTAATTTTTGGTTAATTTTTTCTGGTTAATAAAAAAGCAGGCTTAATTTTTTGGTTAACAGGTAGGAAAATCATATTTAAATATTACCGTTTTATTTCACATATGCTTATCACACAGTCCTAGAATGAACATTTAGGAGCGAAAGGAGGTGGCAGGTAGCGCCAGCGGCACTTTGCTCTGCATCGTGACAAAAACCCTCGTTCGCCCATTTTATCCTCCTAATCGATTCGCTCGGTCGAAAACACATTGTGTGTGTATTCACAACCTCCAGCTAAAACGACATGTAAGTGCTGTAATGTCCAATATTCAAAATTGTAGCGCACCTAGCAATTCAGGTGCACTGTGGGAGCAGTAGACTTTCAACGGGTAGTTTCGATTTCGGTTTCGACGTGTGTGCGTTAGTTGTGTGCTTTTGTTTCTGCATCTCCATTGCTCACCTCGGGGTCGATTTCTCTAAACTTAAGTGCGATGCAGTAAGTACTTTTTTCTTCTCGTCGCTACATATCGTACAAAGCAAATAACGGAACAATTTTGATTTTGCTGGTACAGGAAGGGAGTAGAAATGTTGCTGTTTTTTCGTCTCTTATCACCCGCGATTTCCCCTGCCAGCATTGGGCCCGTTGCAGGATTAATCAATTTAACGCTCCACTGTGCTTACCATGTACCGCAAATATTTCTAAAATGTACTTATTTAGTGGTTTTCAATTGTGCTCAGCAAGGTTCTAACTAAAAGCATATAATTTTTTACACTAAATAAAAAAAATAACAAACTACTTTTAGTTGGTTATTATACTTATCGGGCAATTGAAACTTTATTACGTCTCCCAAACCTTATAATTCACCTGCAAAGACCAGATTGACCATTAGTGTAGCTGTTCTTTTTTCTTTAAAAACACTACTAGCCACCATTTGGTAGGCAAGTCAAGGGTGAGCATACAAAAAGAAAGGTAAACAGAACACAGAGCAAAATAGGAACATCTCCCCACGACACTTCAAGAATACATAAAAAACGATAGGCTATCACAGTGGTGTTAATACTGATTTCGCAGTAGATGCATTTGTGATACTCTCTCGGGAACGGTTTCAATCATTGATTGTAAGAGTTAGAAAAAAAAATACAGACAATATTTGCTACAGTAGAGCCGACTAAAAACAGAAATCTGTAAATCCGAAAAATACATTTTGTAGACTCCTCTTTTTTAAGTCTAGTCCAGCATATACAAAATGTTAAGACGTACTGATTCCGCTGGGTTCGCAGTTAGCGTGCGTGGGATACATGCACAGAACACTGTGAAAGTATCACCTGGGGCATACCAATGAGGGTGCAATTAACAAGTGTTGTGATCTAGCCTTCGTTCGTCTTTGTCTTCTGTGCTGCATAACTCGGTCAATATTTAGAAATATTTTGGTAGCAGTAACTTCTGAAATGTAGACCACTTGTGCTGAAGCTATATCAATAAGCAGGGCGAAATAAACTGTCACTTCGTCTATCGAAGGTGGTCTACATAACTTACCAGCAATGAACACCCCAAGGACGACGACGGTGAAACTGGACACCATCTTGGCGCTTGGAGTTAGACTACAGGTGTAGTGTACAAACGGATGTTTCGGAGACTTCTTTTATATAGTGGACTGGAATGACATTTTCAGAAGCGAGCTGACGTGAAGCACGTGACGCGAAAGCTCATTCTGGTTGATATTAATCACTTAATCATCGCCTACACGTTGCCTGGTTTTGACGCTTGACGTTAATCACGTTAATCATCGCCTACACGTTGCCTGGCTTTGACGCGTGTTTTTTATCTGACGAATGGAAGCGAAATGTAATATGCGGACAGCATGTCTGCAGGATCTTGAAGAAAGTGCCTTGGCTATGTGCCACGCAGTTAAACCTATTATTGATTATGTGTTGATTCGCCAACATTTGTTTAAAAGTTCAGACTGCTTGCGGTTGAGCGTGTGCACGTTCAGAAATACGATTGCATAATATTTTTATTTAGGTGTTACTTTTGTTATTACTAAGAACAGAAATTTGTACTATTAGAGAGGAAGAATTGTAGTGTAAAAATAAGGAGGTTCTAAAACAATGATGGGGATCGGACATTGAAACTGCAACTCCTGTTGCATATTTTTCTAGCAGGCGAAGTGTTAAGAAGTGCAGTGAAATACAACCAAATAGCAGTTCACACCGTCAGCTAGCCTCGGTTATCTAAAGACGAAATATTGGTCTGGTTTGACTGTTTATGGTTTTTAGATTTTGAAATATAAACAGTTTTTTGGGGGTACAAGCGTAAGAACGTGATGTGAGATAGCAATTTTTTGTGAACTGAAGGTTTTGCCTGTGGGGAAGTTCTTAGTCCATTGGAAAAGTTGGCACTCCTAAATAACCCGGGCAGATTTGAGGTAAAACAATTGTTACTTAAGATAACGAACGATTTCTAAATATCGCTTTCCAGTTAAACAAAATGTATCTGTTGGAAATTATGCTTTTTTCGCTAACATTTTTATAAATGTTGAATTTTTTGTGAAAAGGTCTTGCAAATAATAGTTGACTTCTTTTGTTTATGCCTTTGCAATTGAGGTTATATATATTTTCATACAAAATAAGTTTGCTTACAGAAGGGTATGGTTATGACGTCATCTATTTAGATTTTTGCTAACTTTAGAGCACTTGCGTCCACAAGGCGTAATTTCGACTAATATATCCAACAGATATAAAAATAAAAAATAAGAAATACTTGTAAAAGGTACGGAAACATATCCCATTTCGCAAAAAAATTAAGATTATTGCTCTGGTTTTTATGTAAATAAAAACACACAAAAATACTATCATACATTACGGTGAATAGGCCTACATACAGAAATGTTTTAATTGTGCTTGGAAGTAAGAACGTCTTTACAACCATTTTTTTTTTGAAAATCAGCTTTGTGACAGATCGTGTTAGGATGCCAATCGAGCAACTTTCCTTGGGTAATCAATCACCTTGTATAACATGAAGCACACGTCGTGTGCTGTCATTTGGAGAGGCTGTCCAACGACATTGGGTGGGAATATTTTGTTGCCTTACTCCAGCTTCCTGGCACTAGTGGGACCGAAGAATACTCGAACGCAACATTACTGACCAAGAAGCGTCTTCGTCGTGGCGGAATTCAAAGGATGAAAGCGGAGCTTTTCTTTCAGTCTCTCCTTCGAAAGCCGCCTTTTGCTCCTTCGCGAAATTTGATGACGGGGCTGTGGGGACAATGGCAACAGAACGATCCCCGGGAAGGCGTCATCGAGCTCTTCGGTGACAATATTTAAATACTGCGCACACAGTGGACGCAAAGACCGGTTCTGCATTCGATCTCAGCTCGTGACAATCGATGCCTCGGCATGCATCGCTGCAACGATCGTTGCAACGACCACAATAGCCGAGCAATCGCAATGTCTGGAGCTCAGCGCGTGTCCTGTGCTTTGCCAAGCCCAGCGCGTGGCTCTGACCAACGTTGGCAGCGTATAATCGGCTCCAGATCACGTGGCTGTTTGTTCTGGCTGCGAGTTGAGGGGGTGAACGGTGATCGGTTTTCTTTAATTTTTTTTTCTGGTACTTCTATTGCGTGGGGTGAAAAACGAACACGTGTTTCATGGGCCATTAATGTCAGGGATCCGTTCTAAGCGGTATTTGCGCAAAGTACAAAAATTGTTGCATCGCCCTTTTGAGAGAAACCAGCATTAAGCTGGTATGAGCTGAAATTAAAAGTTTGGAAGGAATAGAACAAGCGTTTAGGTAATGTAAACGTAGCGAATTCGTAGAAGCTGCGCGCCGCGCTGAGCCCGGCAACCCTCACCCGTTTCCTGTGTTCGGGCCGTAACGCCATGAAGAGGGCTCCTCTGTGGGTGGCGTTCTTTGGAACTATCCGCGTGGCGGCATGGCCACCACGCGGATAGCGAAGCACGTGAACACGCGCGCTTCGCGATCTAGGGGGCCATGGTGGCTGCATTCCAGCTATCTTATTCGCCGTCTGGGAAGGAACTTTGCGCTCTCGCCAGTATGGTTCTTTGGAATAAGCATCGCAGCCATTTTAACTGCCGTTTAAAAGGGAATTTAGCGCGCTCAATCTTCTCTTTGAACGGCCGTGTGGGAGGAAAATTGGTAGCCGTTTTTTTGTGGTCACAGTCAGCGCCGGCTGCGTTTCATGGGGCAGTTATTGCTTTCGCATTAAAACATGAATGCCGAAACTAAAACCTGTCCTAAATGAGATGTATGGCTTGTCTTAAATGGAGCAAGCGTGTGTGAGGCTTCTAGAAAAAAATTGTAGTGCTTTTTCGATACCTCAAAGTAAATATAAAAGCTTCCAGACTTTCTGAAAATAGGGTAATATAGTGCAGGATAGGATGGTAAACGGTGAAACTTATAAATCCAGTAGACAAGAAGGAAAAATGTGACGTAGTTGTGCTGTCTTTTTTTTCTTCTTTGTTGTCTTTTTCCTTTGTTTCGGGCTTTTGTAAGTATGACTGTGCAGGCCTTACTCATCTCGAATTTTAGACAATGCAGTCTTAATGTGCAAGCATTTCAAAAATTAACGTTTATTCCCAAGTATTTTTTTGTTATTTGTCTTCAAAACGCGGTAAGTGTGCCGACTTGGAGACATATTTAATTAAAAAAAAAGCGATTTTAGGCTTACAAACACTTCTAATCAGTGGCCTTTTTTGGAATATACAAACAAAAACGCATCCAACGGTAATTTAGGAGTTTTTATGACGTTCGCAATTAAACTGAACTTCTGATGAAGTGAGAATTATTATTTCGTCGTTTTATTTTCATCCTTAAGGCTGCCTTGCAGACATCGCCGCAATGCAATCGCAGTACCATTCGGTGATACCAGAAGTATGGTCAGCGAGTGAGTAGCCAGTACATACGTGACAAAGGCTAGGCAATATGATTGCTACGAAGCAACCTACCAACATCTTCTAGATGGCAGAGATGTAGCCACAAGTGTTTGGCGGCATCTAAAGAGCGATAAGACTGGATGCAGATTGGACGCGAGGTCTTCATCAGTGGACGGCCGTGACTCGTGTTCGCATTGATTGGACACGGGTTCCACCCGAACGCCGACGTATTAATCCGGTCTCTGATTTAGCCTTTTTTCTCTAGGTGACGCCGAAGATTGAGCTCTACGTCCTAGTGAGGGATTTTATCCTTGGTTTTTGAACCCACTTTCACGGCTTCGTGTTTTCACCGCCAGGTGCTGTGAATATCTGATTCGATCGAGAAGGCTGTCGCCATAACTTACTGTTCTAACCGCTAGGTGCCTTCAATATCGCTGAAGTCACCAACAGTCGCTGACAACTTAAAAGTTCAAAGTATGGTTTATTATGTTCATGCTTTTTGTTTCGTGATTTTTTTTTCGGTCTTCGACTTATGCCGCCATTTTACGAGCTGCCCAGCGACGATAAGATATCTGGGGCCGCTTGCTAGAAAGTCTTGACTGAAGTCTTGGCTCAAGTCTTGACTCAGGCGCCTGGCGGTCTCGGCTGAGACCGTGACTGAGACCAAGACGGATCCAGCACGGTATCCGGCGCGGTCTTGACTCAAGTCCGGACTTGAGTCTGGCACCCAGACCGCCAAGAACGGAGTGAGCAGTACCTAGAGAGGGAATCTAGGGAAAACTGAAGAAATACCGGAGAAAACAGAGGGTGCGTTCCAAATCTACTCGAGTGGATCCGAGTTACCCTGGCAGATCATGTCACGTGACAACAAAAATCGAGTAATGCCGGATTCGGGTAGGTTTTCGATCGCAAAGGTACAAAACCTTTACCCTAGAGTGAGACCGAGTAAATTTTGGAACACGGCCGAAGATTCCGGACGTGGAAGTGACGAGTTGTGACCTCCTGTCCAATAAGAAAGCGCCGGCGACGCGAGGCGGCAAGCGAGAGATCGTCTGCTTCTGCTACGCTGCGATCGGTTTGGGCAAAGAGAAACGACGACAGTCGCAAAACTGCGACACATGTCTCGTACATACCGTGGTTCCGTGCAAAATAGAAGAAAGAAAAAAAAAAGAGTCAGCGATGCGCGGTTTTGGGTAGAGTTTAGTGCGCACCAACGCTGTCATATTGCTTCGTATCGCGATCGTCTGTCACCACCGTCGTCGACGTCCAGTGCGTACGCCGAATAAAGTTGTTTACATAACTGCCTGCGTGTCCTTAACGCCCAATTTTTTAAGAAAAAAAAATGCGCTGGACGTATTTTCTCGGAAGCATTTGCAATAAAAGTTGATAATTATGTTTCGATCATTAAGTTAGCAGACGACCGTCTGAGTTTGCTGCACGCAGACATGGATGTTGCCGGTCCATCACGGATGCCTCCCAAGGTAAAGAAATCAAATTGGTCCGAAGATGATAAGTTTCAATTGGTTTACGAAATCGAGAAACGAAAACGTATAATTAAGAACAAATTTAACAACAATATTACAAAAGCTGCTAAAAGAAAAGTGTGGCAGGAGATCGCATCCGTGATGAATTCGCGGCATCCATCGACGCTGCGCACTGTGCCGCAACTCAAAAAGCAGTGGCAGAACCT